TTCAATCACCAGACACAAAAATTTGTTTGGAACAGGTGCGAAAGTATGAATTACTTTCAAAGACTTCATTTGCAAGCAATTACACTCATTCAGCAGAAGGTATGAACAGTAAAGAATACTATGGACATTAATAAAATTAAATTAAGATAAAAAAAAAAGAATTGCATAAAGTTGTGTCTTAGTTTCATAACCAACTTTCCCTCCGGACTTCAAATGATTTAATTAGAAAAGTGAAGAATGACTTGAATATTGTAGTAGTAGTAGTAGTAGTAGTAGTAGTAGAATGGGTGAGTGCAAAAGCAAAACTCAAAGTATTATTTTTCGTTTAAATATTATTCTACTCTGGTCCTTAAAGATCTTCAAATACCTATTTTATCGAAATACCTATTTTATCGAAGCTTAAAATAAAACAATTGTTTACGTTTTTTTTAAGAAAGGAAAAAAATTCTTCCCTTTTGTTTATGAGAGACGATGTAGGCAGAGAGAGCGTCAGTGTTAAAAAAAAGATGCGAAAACATTTTTCAACACCGATTTGTAAACAAATGCATTGTTTTTTTCATGTACTGAAAAAAAAAAAATTACTTCATTCGGAACAGCTTCCCAATTTGATAATAAACAAGTCTTGCATTACAAATGAACTGGGTAATTAATTCATTGGGGTAAACAAATTTTAAGTTTAGTGATAGAGACGTGGAACGGATATTCATAATTCATTTTTAATGAATAATAATTTAAAGAGAGTTTTTTTGAAGCTGGGAACAATTGATTGTAGGTAAACATGTCCTTTCATTACTTAAGCGATCAAGAGTCTTTTTTTTTTCTTCGCTAAGTAATTGTTTATTTACAGCACCTCTCTGTGGTAGTTAATAGAGGACTGACGATAAAGACTAACTTTCACTAAATCGAATATTGAACCATAAAGATTAAAGAGTAAACTTAAAGACTGATTTTATGAACAAGACTCGCGAAAATATTGTCCAGATTCTGTCATTCCTAACAAAATAAGGATAATAATAGCAATAACTGGCAGTGACCGAATAATATCTTTTGAGTTTTGATGGATTAATTGAATTAATTATAAGAATAAGATGCTTTTAGATGACATTTATTTTCATTAGAACCCCAAAAAGAGCATGAATGTACAAGTAATAATGTAAAAGCAAACATTGTCAGGCCTTTTAAAATATTAATGCCCCCCCGCTGCCGCTATCGTTCTCCACGCTGAAATGAATTACTATGTTTATTACTATCATACGATGTTTTGAAGAGAAAAGTCGGTCAGTTGAAGAATCTTTGCTATAAAGGATTAAGAACTAAATAGCGGCTGCATCTCTAAACACATTAAATAAAAGTAAAACTTATATTTATTTGAATTACACATTTTCCTTAGATAACTCATTTGATTTTCGGATCTTTTTGAAGGTTTTTCAAAGAAAAAACAAGTACAAATGCACCTTGCTTGGAGGCGTGTCGATAATAGTGCTTCTGTTTGTAAATCGGAGTAAATAGTTTTCAAGTACGGTACTATAAAAAGGCCTAGTGATTGGAATTTGGAAAAGAAGATTGTGTTACACCAATCACTTAAGTAAATAATGCATTTTATATCCCGGCTATTCTTGACTCGATAAAGTTTGTTTAAATCGGAAAGAGTCTAAATGTCAAAACTAAAACATTCCATTTTTCTTCAATGATCGTTTTTATTTTCGCATCTGCTTATCTTAGAAATATATTTCTTTAGTAAAGTATTTTATTGCATTTTCATTCGAAAAGTCATCAAAATTAAAATAATTTTGTTAAACAACAAAGCGACCTCTTTAAATTACTAATAATAACCCCTTGTCTTTCCTGTGTTAATTATGAATTGCCAGGATTTGAGAAACAGATGTAAGGGGTTTTCCGTTGTCTCCTAGACTGGCTGCTTACCAAGGCTAGAGAACCAGTGTTCTTGATATTTTAAAAACAATAGCTGAGGGTCTTGTGAACGCAAACTAAAACAGAGGATGTACACGGTTAAAATGATTTCAGTCACACCGATAAGCAAATACAGGTTAGAGTTGATAATTACAATTTTTTTTTTTTTTAAATCTAAGGGAAAATTTAAACGGGCAATTCGGGCTAAAATCGTTTGAACTTGAAATGAAAGATAAAGTAAAAAGAAAATTTTACCTACCAATTAAGTGTTTCTTGGTCGCTTGGTCTTTTTTTTTAATGTAATTATCTTTTATTTTGAGTCCTGTGTGAATATCTTTTTTTTTTGTTTGTTTAAAGAAGAAAAGCGCGCTCACAATGAGGGCAAAGTTAATCTTTTCTGAAGTGAGAAAAAAGTATTTTCTTGTTAACTAACCGAGTTGTGTATTTCCAACTTACGGATGGTTACTTTTTTAAGATCAAATCTTAATTTCAGGCAGCGAAATTGCTTTTTATATATGAGACAACAATGAAGGCGGGGTAGAAAAGGTGAGAGAATGAGGAAAGGAAATACGAAATAGTAATAGCGTTCAAAAAAGAGGAGTGGGAGGTGAAACAGAATGCTAATGAGAGGGTCGGGCGCAGTAGGAGGAACGAAATAGGACGGGGTGGGAAAGAGAAAGAGAGAGAACTCAATGTTCTCCGTATCAGCCAGTGTTCACGTGCTCACAGAGTGGCTCTAGTAAACACGAAGCATGCACGGGCACCTGATCACAATGAAAATAACTGGCTTCCTCTTTTCTTTAGCCTTTGCCTGACAGCTTTGGCATATTATTCCGACTACTACGGCTGAGACATTTATTTGCTGCCGTCGCCGTCGATTCTTACTTAGAATAAAAGCGATATTTATTTTCTTCTGTTTGTGTCCTAATTAACTGAGCAAAATAAATATAAAAATAAATAAATGCCTCGTATTTCTTGAGGAAAAGAAAGTGATTTGAACAAAAAAATAACCTTACATTTGTTTTAAAAACTGAAAAAAGATTTTTGTTTTACAATGGTGTTCATCCCACACAAGGCCCGAGAACCACTCCAGGTAGAGGTTACAGAGTTTATGCAAATATGTGGTGAAAGTAACGGCTAACGAACCTTTGGCCAACAGTTTAAGAATAAGATTGTAGTGACCGGGGAAGCTGTTCGAGTGGAACTTACATCTCACCAGGGGAATACGAAGGTGGTATGTTAGAATGTGCGAGGCATAGAGGGTCTTAGAGGGTGAAGGTTAAAACTGGTGGAACTAAGGAATGTAGTTCGGCTGAACACTTACCATGGAAATAACGATAGAGAGGCGAGGGACTTGCAATGTTCCGTATGTGGGAAAATGGTTCTAGAGTGGAAAATAATGTATCACCCACAAGGACGCGGAGACGATTTTGAACTCTATCGAAATTGAAAAATGAAGGCTGGGCAGCTCCTGCCCTTTGAACTAAAAATAATTCTAAAATGATCCAGTTTTTTTACCTATACAGTAAAATATGACATACTAAGTTACCAGCGTAACATGCTTACTAATGATTACAACCCTAATATAAATAATAATAATAATAATGGCCACTCGTATTCGAGGATACCCGTCTATTTGCTCAGGCACATTTTGTTTGTTCAACACCCACTGAGCCCACCTGTGGTTTATACTGCAACTAGGCTTGATTACCGTTTCTGGGAGAGAGCGTATTATCTAGCGTGATCAACAATTTAAACAAGCACGCTGAAGCCATCGGCCATGATGATTGTGGCTTTGTTCCATCTACGCAATTTCACTCAGAAGGCTTGGGTCAACTCGTAGTATGATTTTCAGGCACACGAATCATTCCGATGACATCAGGAAGTCGACAATATTAAGATTCGAACCCGGCTCTCATGGTCAGAAAGCGAACGTTCTAACCACTCAGCCACGATGTGCCCTCCTAATATTATTATGGTTGACTTTATTTTTTACAAGTTAGTTTATAATATTAAATATACAAAGTACCCGTAAAAATAACATGTATGTAGCGAAATGTTACGTGCTAATACGGGAAATGTATAAATTCATCTCTTCCCATCCACAGCGATGGGTAAATAGAAAGTGTTGTAACCTAAGGAAGGTTACTGAATAGAATAATAAAACGAAGATTGGTATTGAACGATAATACTTCGGACAAGAACAAAACATATAAGATTCGCCAGCGGCGCGGAGAAGAAGTAGTCAATTGCAAGAAGTGAGTCAAGTGAATCTCACAATGAATCTCCAACTGCAGGATATTTTTCAACCACCCCACGCGGTCAGATGTGGCACAAGGTCAAATTTAATGTGGGGCATCCGAGCCCGTAGGCTCGGCCAAAATTTCCCCATAGACCCCGTATAAAGGGGTAGCTGTTTCCCGAGACGAGACTCTGCCCTTTGACATAGCCTCGTCAGGGGATCTTCTCTGCCCGGAGGCAGAGAGTTTGACCAGCACAGCTGGAGACGAATCTCGAACTGCAGACCAATATACAGTATTTAGTACTCTATTTATGTGAATGGGGACATACTATTATCGTCCATAGTTATGCCACAATAGAAAGAAAGGGTTCTATAGCCTTGGGTAGCAACCGGTCTAGGAGAAGGAAAACTGTATTCAAATCTGTATGCAGCTAAGGAAAGGATCGTTCGCATTGATTCGACGATCCCTACTAAGTTGATTACTTTATGTAGGGATCGCTCATATACTACTCTTATCGGAGGCTTTCTATAGTATCTGTGCGCTCTCTTTAAGTTGTTGTTCGTAAATTAATTCTACTGATCTACTCAGGCCTTTCAGGAACGCTGGTACAATAATTCCGTTTAACTTTCATTGATTGATTGACTCGTTTTTTACGGTTTGTCAATCGTTTGCAGGTTATTTAAAGCCAGAAAATATTTTTAATTTGTAAGACTTTTTGGGAGATGATAATTGTTTCATAATACAAGTCTTTAATTAACCCATAATTGGGGCGAGAGAAGAGGTGAATTCATATATTTCCCAAGGGTATTTGCGCCTAAGGGAATATAACGAAATATAACCCCAAAGTTACAGCACCTGGAATTCCCAAGGGTCACCCATCTAAGTATCGACCAAGCTCGAAGCTGCTTAACTTTGGTGATCGTACGGGAACCGGTGTTTGAACATGATGTGGTCGTGAGCCTGTTTCGAACGTTCGAATCTAGTTAGGATTCATATATATTTTGTTTTAGTGAAGTTACAAAAATACAAGCCGCGTAGTATATAGAGAGTGCTGAAAAGTTATCGCTGCCAGACCCCTACTTCCTAAAATCTTACATCGAAATACATTACATCATCTGCGTAAAAGTTTATGCTTCGGAAATATAGGCGATGAAGAATTCTCAGCTTGACCCACTTCCCTAAAAAATCTGACCAAATTATCAAATATTAGAGTGGCTTCTGGGTCAGGCCCTCAATTTTAGGCACCACTTGAATACTAAAAGAGAGAGATTGCTGTGTCAAGTGTTTTCAACAAACACTTATCCGTCGTACTACTAGTCAAGGCTATGAAATAAAAATTAAAAAAATACGTTATTGTTATGGTTACTTAGCTTTTTATTGTAATTTATTTTTCAGTTTAATGAAAACTGATAATATTTTGTAATTAAATTTAAGCATGAACAATCTAAAAGGATTAGTAGACTCAATTTTTTTTCCAAAAATTAAAAAGAATTTTTCTAGAGTCTGTTGTAACTTTGCTGCTCGGGCAAAACCTCAGGTTCGTTCTCAGGCTGCAGCTTCTTCCAGTCAAACGCTTGTGGCTTAATACAAGTAAAATGATTCTTTGGTCGGATCGTTACTCAAGAAAAAAAACAAAAAAAAAAAAAAAAAAAAAACGAAAACAAACCATGAGATGAAATTATAGCAGTCGGCAAATTCGACTTCACTGAATTGAACCCATTGTCAGGGTCAGTTGATTTGGTTCTTGGGAGGTCCGCTCCACTCATCTGACCTTCTTTGTCAAGATGATAATTCTCAAAACGATTTCTGCAACATCTTGCAGATGTGTCCTTAACAATATATTAAATGACAACTGATATCGCTACACTGACAAAGATCAACATCACAGAAGCGAACCAAAATCACCTGTAATTTAAGTAAATATTCAATATAATTTAGTAAATTAGCGTCCCACGCCACAATAAATAAGACTAGGAAAATCTTGTCTTTCTCATAGTAATTAGGTTTTGTTTTGAATATATATATATATATATATATATATATATATATATATATATATATATATATATATATATATATATATAAGAAATAGTTTTAAGGTGTGCTATATTTATGGGATAAATGCTCAATATCAGAGATAGAGCGTATGTAAATATAAATATAAAAGTGAACTCTGAAGTGAACACTCCAGAGGCGACAGGCTGTTTCATGCTAGTCGCAATCGTCAGGCCGCATGAAACGGCCTGTCTCCTCTGAGTGTCGACTTCAAAGTTCACTTTAACATTAAACTATATTCAATTCAACATGAAAAGACGAGGGACATAAGAGTAAGACTGGTATTTATTCATACAAAAAGTACAAATTGTGACACAAGGCCAATAAAGGGGAGGGGTAGAGGCTGGTCAACACTAACTATCTTATACCTAGCTAATCAGATTCTCGACCCATTCGTACATTACATTTTACCCATTCACCAAAAGAACTCGTCCATCACCAAACAATCCTTCAACCACCATAATACCACGTGCTCTCAAGGGAGACCTACCAAAATCGCGCCCCATGCCATAAAAATTTTAATGATGATATATATATATATATATATATATATACAATTCTAATAATGATAAAATGAGAGGGAAGGCAAATGAACCCAATAATAAACTTAAAATAAACACAAATACAAACTAAACATAATTGATGTTAGTAGGGACCGTCCAACCCATAAAACAGAGAGACCGCTGTATTCTGCCCAGGGGACAAAATCAAGAGACGCTCTCATGAAGGAGTGGGAAAAAGTATAAAATATTAGGCTGGAATGGAAAAATATAAAACTGACCCAGTCGAAATGAAAGGGGGGGGAGTCAAAACAAACTGGGGAGGTTGGGAATCTTGACTTGGATCATAACCAAAGAACGGCCAGGATGCAGGCCAGGAACAACACTTACTCACATTAACTATGTACACTGAAGCTTGTCTAACCTAACCAAGGGAGGGTTCCACAGGAAGCCACCCCGATGTGCAATAGGTTGACCTAGAAGAGAAAATCAAGGCTAGCCCCGTTCACACGAAGCAAGCTCGCTTCTTTTACCCACCTTTCGCTAAAGACTGTCGAATGCAATCGTTTTCTCTCCGATCTAATCTTCATCTTGAGCTGATGCTCAAAGAATCAAATTAGATCCAAATGAGAAAGACGATTGCCTCGCAAGACTTCCTCCTTTTGCGTCGTCCAAATCACCATTCGAGCCGTGGCCATCAGCGTCAGAAACACCATCCGTTTCATCCCGGAATACGGGGGCGACACATTGTCACACGCGTATGCGCGATCAATGGACACAAGCTGTTCGGGAGCGAGACAAGCCGTCAGCTCGCCGACATGGTTCCATAAGGGGCGGACATGGGGGCAATGGTAGAAGGAGTGCGCAGCCGTTTCTTCTAAGCCAAGGACACACCGTTCACAGTCTGGTAAATACGCCAAGCCCCATATGAAAGCTTTGTCGTTGAGAGGCAGCCGATTCCGAGCCAATCGCCAGCTAAGCGAAAACTCAGGGTTACTGAGGTAATCTGCCGCTGGCGCCCAAGACCAGTAGGAGCGATACTCCTCCTCCGACAAGCCGAGCATATCTCGTAGGGGATCCTTCGCGGGCCTCTCCACTAATTCACGATAGAAGACCTTCCTAGGCCGAGAAAGGTCACTGGACCGGGGAACGGCCCTCAAGGCCGACCGACACTCGCGAAGGAAAACCAATTGATCCCGGGGTTTACGACCGCGCTCAACCCGCGAGATGGGGGGACTGATGGTAAGGCCAGGGAACGCGTCATTAACAATCCCCTCCAGAATCGGATCTCCTCCAGTCAATGCGCGGCGTAGGAAAGCCAACCTGGAGGCACGGATGTGACTCGGCAGGTGCGGCATGAGAGTAAGACTAATCAAAACAGACAACTGAAATTTTTCAAGATCAGCGTTCCGTTTCAATATGATCACGTCGGCGTCACGTGGCCGATGTTGTGAAAACGTATTCCTAAAATAGAGTATTTTGAATGAAAAATGAAAAGAATTTTATTTTAATCTAAAACTTATATGTACGTTTGTCGAGCATTAACCTTGCTAGAAAAGGGGAAATATTAAAGAAGCCGGGTCTAGTATTCACCGTGCGTGTGATAGATATTATGCCTGCTTCATAAATCCGTCTAAGATTTTTATTATGAATATATTTCAAAATCTTCACAGAATCAAAATCGAAATTATGATCAGATTTAGCTGTGTGTACAACTAAAGCATTGTTCAAATTGTAAAATCTCGTGTTTTCGAACATAAACGAGATGTTCGCCTCGGTAATTTGAAATGAAGAGAGCAATTTACTCCGCTTCAGGTCAAAAACGAACTCCTGTGTGAAGTACATATTGATGCAATTAACTTCAAACTCATAATAATGTCCGCTACAACATTAGCTTATTTACTCATGTTATCTGTTTAACGATAAGAAAAGAGGCGTTATTAAAAGAGAAAATGAACCATTCCTTTTCTGGGAAGCATTCTAGCGTTTATTTGAAATTACGTTTTAATTTATTACAAGCGAAAGAGAAAAACTGAATTTTTTTTATAAGTGATTATACGGGAAACTTTCAAACCCACTAATCGTTGAGTGTATATCGAACAAGATTTATGACATTGTGGGAAAATGAAATAATATCGATAAATAAAATAAAAATAAGAAAATACGAAATATATTTTCCCATGATGCTCAGAGTAAAGGAACCAGAAATATGATTACCCCACTTGGTTTTGTCAAACGCTCTTAGGTGGCGCTGTTGAAGTTAATAAAAGTGAAAACAATTCCTCACTCACTCCTTTCTCTCCCTGGGCTGGTGGTATCACGGCTAGGACTATCTTGGACCGGCTCCGGCCTGGACCAGCTAGGACAAGCCAAGACCAGCTATGACTAGCTTAGACCAGCTCTGACTAGCTTAGACCAGCTCTGACCAGCTTGGACAAGCTATGACCAGCTAAGACCAGCTTAGACCAGCGGCCCGAATGAAAACATTCGGGTCCCCACGTTAAAAACTGACCTTGTGTCAAAACCTGACTCAGTGGGGGATCAAGTAAATACACTCACTCCTTTCACTTTTTCTTGCTTCAAGATGAAGAACCACGTGGTAATTACGTTCCAGCTGGGGAATGTGAGTTTCTCTGGTCCACTGACAACGGAATACGCTTTTCAACTTCCAACGATCTTTCGAAAACCTCCACCTATGAAGTAAGTCAAAATTTCTCTTTGGCTGTTCCAACTCAATGCAAAGTTGACTTGAGCGCAACCATTGTAACGATGCTTATACTTGATTATTCAAACTTCTGGACCAAGGAAAGAAAAACGTATATCACATAAACACGTTTAAATATACTACTGACAAAGTAAATACAAACCTTCCTTTGGTTGTTCTAACTCTGCACAAGATTGACTTGGGCTCGGCCATTAATACGATGCTTATACTTACTTACCCTAACTCCTGGACCACAAAGAAAACGGATATACCCAGAACTTTGCTTCACTACAGTTTGTATATATATATATATATATATATATATATATATATATATATATATATATATATATATATATATATATATATATAACTAGACTCGTTTCGAAAAACCCTCGAATTTTTGATTTGCTAATCAAATCAATCCCGAGGGAAAAAAGGTTTTAAAAAAGAAAGAGCTACAAACATGAACTTCTGCCGACAAAAAAATCGCACAGATGCAGGTCGGAAGCCCAAAAGAAAAAAAAATATATATATATATATATATATATATATATATATATATATATATATATATATATATATATATATATATATATAATAAGAGAATAAACGCTCCGTGGTAGAAGCTTATGTTTGGGTATGCTTCTTTGTTTATCATATGTATACACATAAATACGCAACATTTTAATTTCA